TTTTTAAATATTTTATTATTTTTATTTTATGCGTATGAGTGTATTGCCTGCATGATGTGAGCGCACCCATGTTGTGCAATGCCAGCGGAGGTCAGAAGAGGGCTTCGGATTCCCCTGGAACTGGAGTTAAGGATGATTCGTAGCCACCATGTGGGTGCTGGGAATCAAACCCAGGTCCTCTGTAAGAGCAGTCAGTGCTCTTAACCGCTGAGCCATCTCTCCAGCCCCATAAAGAAATATTTTTAGTAATAAATCTGGCTCACATAAGCATGCCTGATCAGCTGTGAGGAGTCTTGGTATATGATGTGGTTGCAGATGTCAAGAGACACAGCCAGCATTGGCCCATGTTGAAATTTATGCTGCTGCTATGTGCACAGCAATCTACCTTATGCCTGTAAACGTTCATTGGCTATATAATTTAAATTTACATAATTCTAACTTTGACTCTTCATAGTTGTTTATTTCATAGAATTGTTTGCCTTAACCATAAAAAGCAAACACTTTTTAAAAAAAGAAGACTCAGGTCCTTAATGTCAATAGCAGCCTGCATTGAAGGCAATGTGTGTAACAGCACAAGGACCCCTCTGAAGGTCTATATACCCAAGTCTTTTGCTATAAGTCATTTATCAGATTCTTCAAGTGTTAGGAGGACTCCAGCTACCAAAAGCCAAAAGTAGGCACTGACATTAACAATGGTTTACTGTCTCTTTGAAAATATCACATTTTCTGATGATAAAATTTTGCACAGAAATTAAAATGGATAAAGCTGTGTGTTTTACTTGAAATCTTACCAAAACAGTACTTTCAAGAAAATAGTTGTCTGGTAACATAAATTGCTTCTGCATCAGTTCCACAAACAAGACAAGGACCTAAAACATCCAAACTGTTTACAGACAGAGTCCTTTTGGGAAGCAAGCTTGTGATTTCAAGGCGGTCTTTGGCAGTATCAGTGCTGAGCCAGAAAGTTATTAGAGACTGGTGAACATTAGCCTGGCTGCTTATGCTGTGAGACAAGAAAGTACTGCTTCTTCCTCCTGGGAGCAAATAAGAAAGGGGAAATGCTTAAGACTAATATATCAGTAAACACAAAGCTTCTGCTATTTCAAAAAGTTAATCATTTCAACTTGTTTACCTTTCAGTTAAACCAGGCTGATAAGGGAGGTAAAAGTAAGGTAATAAAAAAAAAAACAGGCAGGTAATTCTGTCATATGTCATCCTTTAAAAAAAAAAGCATTACATTTATTTATTGTGTGTATGTGTGTCTGTGTGTGGCTGCACGTGTGCTATAGCACACATGTGGAGGTTAGAGGGCAACTTGCAGGAGTCAGTTTTCTTCTACTTCCATGTGAGTCCCAGGGATCAAACTCAGATTGTTAAATTGGTGGCAAGAGCCTTTGCCCACTGAGCCACCTTGCCCAACTATGTCATCTTGTGACCAAAACTTAGTCAGTAGTATTAAATATCCAACATTCAAAGGGAAAATAGGGATGCCAATCTTGTAATCTTTAGGAAAAGCAGAAAATTGAATTATGCTATTTTTTAATTTTTTTTTTTTCTGAGACAGAATCTCACTAGCCCAGGCTGGCATGGAATTTGCTGTATATGCAGACCAGGTCTGGTCTTGAACTCAGAGATCTGCCTGTCTCTGATTCTCAAGGTATGTACCACCATGCCTTACCTTTTTAATGGAAAGTCTCAAAGAGTTACCACAAGCAGCCAGAGACAGAAATAAGGAAAAAAGAAACCAAAAAATACAGATAATCACAGAAGTATAAGCTCTGGGTAACGTAAGATGTGAACCTTTTGGTTCTGCTTACTGCTGTAGGACAGCGCTAGCAGAGCATCTGCCATAGCACAGGCATTAGCAGGTATCTGAATATATGACCAAATGCACAAATTCTGATAAATCCTCAAAAACAGGAACACTTAGAAAATGTAAAACAAGTAAATAACAAGAAGACCTCCCTCTTCCCCCATTACAAGTATATAGTTTCTGATTGATCTTTTACTTACTGCTGATTTTAATCAGGAAATACAAAGAAACTCTGGTTTCTTTTTGTTTGGATTTTCAGACAAGGTCTTATTCTATAGCCAAGGCTGACTCTTAACTTGTGGTAATCCTACTGCCTCAGACTCCGGAGGACTATTATTACAGTTGTCATCCACCACAACCACCTTGGCTGTGTTACGTGAACCAGCTAATTGCATTTTTGGTCATCAAGAACATCGGAAGAAATACCTAATAGTCATATTTCAAGTCCCATGATTTTCAAATTTATGTGGCACAGGAGAATGGAAACATTTCTCAGCACTCAGAAAACTGAAGGAGTGTGGAAGTTTGAAGCCTGCTCCGATTACACAGCAATTTCAAGGCTAGTCTAAGGTATGTAGTGAGACTCTCTGTGCGTCAAGAAACCAAGATGGGGCTGAAGAGATACCTCAGCAGTTAAAATACTGGCTGCTCTTGCAGAGGACCCTGGTTTGGTTTCCAGCACCTATGTGGTGGCTAACAGTGGTTTGTGACTCCAGTTCCAGAGGATCAAATGCCCTCTTCTGGCTTCCACAGGCATTGCACACGTGGTATACTTACTCACATGCAGGCAAAATACTCATAACACATAAAAAAAAATTTTTTTTAAAGAAACCAAGAGAAAGTTGTTTCCCTGATGGCAACACTTAAGCTTGTCTGCTCTTTTGAGTTCTAACTAAGAAAAGTATAACTTTTCCTTTTTTTAATTTATTTTTTTATTTTTTACTTTTGGATACTGGCCAAAAGCTTTTAACATGCCTTCTTGGACACTCTGGGTTTAGTGTATCATAGCTCTTCCTCCTTCTTTTCTCCATCTCCCTTCTGGCAGCCGCTGAGATTTACAGCTTGCCTGCCCTCTTGTGAAAATTGTGCTTGAGGGGCTGGAGAGATGGCTTAGTGGTTCAGAGTACTTGTTGGTCTTCCAGAGGACCTGGGTTCAGTTCCCAGAACCCACATGGCTGCTAACTGCCACCCTAGAGGATCTGGCTTACATATATATAGTCTAAAACCTCATACACATAAAATTTTTTTAAAAAATTGTGCTTGAGATTCAAATAAAAAACAAAAAACAAAACAAACAAACAAAAAAACAGGGACATAGCTCATTAGTAGAACACTTGCCTTATGCACAAAGCTTTGGGTTCAATCTTCAGTACCATAAAAAAGAGACAGAGAGACGTTGGGTATGGTAGCACACAACTTTAATCCTAGTACATGGGAGGCAGAGGCAGGAAAATCTCTGTGAGTTTGAAGGTCAGCCTGGTCTACATATCAAGTTCTAGTTGGGGTTACAGAGAGAACATCTTAAAAAGATAAAGAGGAGGGGGGAGAGAATGTCTAATGTGACATTCATGAATTATTTCTTTATCAAATTCTTTAAAATTATGTATATGTGTGTGTCTGTGTGTAGGTATACATGCAAATGAGTGTATGTGCCCTCAGAGTCCAGAAGAGAGGAGTTGGATCCCCTGGAGCTGAAGTTACAGGCAATTGTGAGCTGCCTAATGTGGGTGCTGGGATTTAAACACAGGTCCTCTGCAAAAGTACTATGTGCTCTTAACCACTGAGTCATATCTCCAGCCATCCCCTCAAGCCATGATTTAAAAAATTTGTGTTTTCTTTCTGAGATAGGGGTTCGTGTACCCTAGGATGGCCCTGAATTAACTATGTAGCTGAGACTGACATTCAATTCCCGATTCTCCTGCTTCAACTTCTCAAATGGTATTTATTGCCATGTGGCTAATTTGATATTTAAAAGTATCCTAAAACAACATGCAGGTACCTTTCCTAAGACATTTTACCTTGGTGGAAGAGTGAAGACTTTTCAGGCATATCTGTGGAGGCATCCCAATGCCAGAGGGATCCATCTTCAGAACAAGTAAACAGATGATCTGGTTTGGATGGGTGGAAGTGAACTTCCCACACTAAGAGAAAAATCAGCAGCTTATTCCTGTGCAGATTAACTGAACAAGAAAGACTAAAGCCCTATTTTACACATCGTCTTCCATTATCCTCCATCACATACCTATAAACCTTGTTGGTTAAAAATCAAAGGCTTCAAAATTAAATGACAGAATAAATCTTCTGGTGACTATAGTATGCAGTCAGTCACTACTTAGGTGAAATGTCTAACTTACTTATGGAAAAGAATGTCCATGAGATAATACTGAAAAGACTTTATCAAAATTGGTTATGTTCCCTTATAATGAATTTCCATGCCATTAACAGATAAACATTTACACAACTGGCACAACAGCAGGAATACCATAATGGAAACATCAAAATAAAGACGAGAATCCAATATTGGCTCATGCCAGTACTGTGGATATTTCTGGCTTATAGCATAGAAATAAGCAGCCACTCCCTTGGAAATGTTATAAGAATTTGGATCCCTTTCAGATGGATCAGAAAGCCACCACATTGTAACTGCTACCCCAACCTTCACCCTCACCTCTAACTTTAAGGGAACTTTGAGTGTCCACAGATTCCTGGGTGTTAGTGATTAGCCAGGACTCCCTAGCATGGAGAGAAAACAGGAAGACTCTAAACAAGGGTTCCGGGAGTCTTAGCTATGTCACCTTAGAGCACCAATACAGAAAGTGTCTGAGGTGTAGCATGAAGAGTGAATGGCATGTTTGCAAGGTGGTAATCTTCGCTCTGACATTTATCACAAATATGCCATAGAAAGGTCACCTCACAGGAGAAGAATATGTGCCCAGGGAGTTCTTAACACAGCACATTTACAGTGTCATTAATGTGAGGGGCTGGGAGTAGGTGACAGTGGAGAAAGCCTCCTAGCATTTATGAGGTTCTGGGTTCAACTTTCAGCACTCAAAACAAAACAAAGTTAAACATATGGCTCAGTAGTTAAGACCTGGGTTCAGTTCCCAGCACCCACATGGTGGCTAGGAACTACTGGAAACTAGTTCCAGGTGATCCAACGCCCTCTTCTGGCCTCCACAGGCATTCCACATCGTGGGTGCACTTACATACATGCAGACAAAACACTCATACACATAAAAATTAAAAAACAAAACAGAAGAAAAAACTAACAATAACAAAACAAAATAACAGCTGGGTATGTTTAATCCCAGCACTCCAGAGGCAGAGGTGGGAGCAGCTCTTCGAGTTCCAGGCCAGCTGGTCTATGTAGAGTTTCAGGCCAGCCAGGGCTACACACCGAGACCTTGTCTCCAAAAACCAAAACATAAAACCAAAACCAAACCAACCAACCAACCAACCAAACAAAACCCTGACCAAATTGCCTGAATCTACATTATTTATACATTTATTTCCAAATTGGATAAAAAACAAAAACAACCCTATAAAACATCTAACTTCATCTCTAACTAGGATTGAGGATGAATTAAAAATAATATATTGTAAGCCACAACATTTGTGTGCACTATTAAAAGGGGGCTGGTAAGAGGACATCTCAGATGGCAGGGAGGAGCTAAGTGGCAGAGCACATCCCTAGGGTGTATCAGGACACAGATCATCTGCCTTTGCTGGGATTAAGGGCCTGCACCACAAGCATAGACTAAAGACTTTTAATTAACCTTGAAACTAAAAAGCTAATGCAAGCTCAGTAAACCATGTGATTTAGAAGAATGCTTGGCATTGTGTATATGGGATGCTTTAGGCCTAGGGTTGAAAGGACAAGATTATCTGATAAGGATGAACCTAAGTTTGTAGTTTCCCAATTGAAGCTGAAGCAATGGTTTTAAATAAAATTATGGGTGAGGCCTGACACAATGGCACAGTTCTAGGAGGCATGTGGGGAGAATAGGTGCCCTCAGAATTTGGGCTCACCCTTAAAAAATAAAGTAACAAATTAGGCTATTTCTTCAGGTAATAGTGTAATGTGGCATAGTAACATCACAAAAGATAATGTAAAAATTTTCCTTTCTTTAGGAGGATTTGGCAGGAGTGGGGGTGGGGCTCTGGGTGTGCCATTCAGGGTTCTCACGAAACACAAGGCTGGCCTTGAACCCCTGATTCTCATGCCTCTATATCCCAACTGCTGGGATTACACATGCCTAGCTAAAATTTTCTTAAACAGAGAAGTTGCAATACTGGTTTAATTTTGTTTTCTTGTACTTTAATTATGCTTCAGAACTTAACATGAATTTCTTTCAAACCAAAATTTAAAAATATAATCTATTTTGGTTTTACAATTACCTACATTATCTATTGCACTTATTAAAAAAATAATAATTAGGGGTTGGAGACATCACTCAGCAATTAAGAGCACTGGTTGCTCTTACAGAGGACCCGGGTTCGATTTCCAGCACCCACATGGTGGTTAACAACTGTCCCCAGAACTCCAGTTCCAGGGAAATCCAATGCTCTCTTCTGACCTCCACTGGCATTGCACAACACGAGTATACTTATACACATGTAGGCAACACTCATACACACAAAATAAAAACAATAAATTATTTTTAAAAATAATAAATAATAAATGGAAAGGGCATATCCAAAAAAGTCCAAAATCAAATAGTAAGATCATGTCAGACCAGGGGTCATAGCACCATGGTAGAACACTTGTGTGAGGCTGTGGACTTGATCCCATTAATGGGTGGTGGTGGGTGGGGGAAATCTCTTTTATCTAGGAGTTGTGGCTCATGCCTATAATCGCAGCACTTAGGAAGCTGAGGCAGGAGGACTATGGTAAGGTGGAGGCCAATTTAGGCTACGTAGTGAGTTCCAGGAGAATCTGGGCTAGAAAGTGAGCACAATAGTACTTACTTAATGAGTACAGCAGATCAGCAGGTATGAGCAAGAACCTGCCATTCTACAGAACAAAGGCATTCTCACACCGGGAAGCATGACAATATCAAGTGCAAAGTTTTATACAGAACAATCAATAATCTGACAACAAGCATGACAGTGTTTTGGTCTGTAGAGTCTACTTCTCAGTAAGATAACTATCTAACAATACTTACTACAGTTCTTGATCATAATGAAATGTTAGAGAACTTAAAATCAAACCCTAAAAAGGATTACCTAAATTTATACAATTCAGACATTAAAAGCTATGATGTGAAATGATCTCTTTGTACCAGTATGTGAAGTGCTCATGTGATAGAACTCACCCAACAAAACCTTTTTGCATCTCCAAAATACTTACTTTCAGCTTCATGAGCCTTTAGCAGAGATACCGGCATGGTGCCTTGTCTAACATCCCAAATGCTCAGCATTCCATCCTGGCCACCAGTAGCTACAACGTGCTGCTGGTTGGGATGTCTGTCAACACAGTGGAGTGGCACTCGGTCACCCGTCCTTTTGAAGGAGATAGGACAAGATCAAAGATGTGGTAAAGGACAATTTATCCTTGCATAATGAGAAATACATTTCCTTCCATTGCCTAAACAATACTTATGTGGCTGGAGATACTAAATCTTAGTGATGTGAAAATTTTTTTTTTAAATTTTAATTCATTTATTTTATTTTATGTGTATGAGTGCCTACATGTATACAAGTGGATCCTCAAGAACTGGAGTTAGGGACAGTTGTCAGCCACTTATGTGGGTGCTGGGAACCAAACCCAGGTCCTCTGCAAGAACAGCCAGTGCTTTTAACCACTGAGCCATCTCTCCAGTCCCAATAAAAATTTTTTAACTAAACTAAAAATATTTATAAATAGTAAGAAAATTTTGAAATTAAAGGTCAACATTACTGCCTCAATTTGGAAACACGGGAGGCAAAATAACACAATGGTAAGATGTGCCAGAAACAGTTCAATATCTAAGGTTTTAAAACATATACATAAACTATAACAAATATTCTTTACTCCTACCTTATTTAATGCTTAGTTCATATAACTTTTTTCAATCTGATACTATATTCTAGTTTCCTGAGAGAGAAGCAAAGGTTGCATACCTAGAAAGGGGTATTTCTGCTAGGAAAAAAAATACCTTGAGCTGTATTTTATTTATAATCACATCTAGTATAGATTTTTACCCACTACCAATAATACTATTTGATGAACAGAAATAAGTTCTCTATTAAATAACATACACTTTAAAGAGATAAAGCCTCTGAATCAATATAAAAGATATTTACAAAATGTAGAATTAGAGAATCAAACTCATCCTTGCTTTATCAAATGGCATCAAGGATCACTGTCTTTAAAATTCAATTAAAATACAAAATTAATTGTGATATCCAACTGAACAAATTAATTTTGCATTATATTACTGAAATGACAAATCAAAACTTACAGTGATAAGATTTGACAGGGCTCATTTCCTTGTTGTCTGAAATCCCATATTTTCAACTGTCCAATTGAATTTACTGTAACAATCTCAGGAGTTCGCAGGAAGGTTACAGCATGGAGGGTACTGCTATCCGCATTGTCTAAAGTTTAAAAAATGGTAGTGTGTGTTAACAGGTTCTTTTTCAAGAAAATTTTAAGTCACATTCTGCCTGTTAATTAAAAATTACTAACGACTCACAGTTTAATTTTTCATGGGAAAATGTACAGTAATGTCAAGACATTCTTCTCCAGTAGAAGACATCACTCATATGACAGAGTTTTCTAAATGCAAGGCTGATTTATCCATACTGTTCTGTTTCCTCTCAAGGTTGCTAAAATAAGCCGGGTGTGGTGGTGCACGCCTTTAATCCCAGCACTTGGGAGACAGAGGCAGGTGGAGTTCAAGGCCAGCCTGGTCTACATAGTGAATTCCAGGACAGCTGGGGCTATAGGGAGACCCTGTCTCAAAAAAGACCAAAGGAAAAAAAAAATTTGCTAAAATGAACTTGACACCAAACTTCCCTTCTACTGGGTTAAAACTCAGTGATTCTGCCAGGCGTGGTGGCGTGCACTGTTAATCCCAGAACTTGGGAGGCAGAGGCAGGTGGATCTCTGTGAGTTCAAGGCCAGCCTGGTCTACATAGTGAGTTCCAGGACAGCTGGGGTTACAGGGAGACCCTGTCTCAAAAAGACAAAAAAACAAAACAAAACAAAATTCAGTGATTCCTACAAAGCTCACTCTGATCTTGTAGTACTGTATTGACTTGTGGTAAATGTATTCATCTTTACCCTTACTAGCATCCTCTTCATTGAAATCCTTCATGATTGTGAAAATGGACTTCTTTTGGAGACAGGATCTCATTATGTGGGTCAAGCTGGCCTTGAACTCAAGATCTTCCTGCCTTACCTCTAGAGTGGTGGGATTAGAGGAGTAAACCCTATACCTGGCTATTATAATGGTTCTGTTTAGATTTCTTGATGTTTAGAACTTAAGGCACAAAATGCATACTTCTAACCTTGATCTGTGCCACTCCTATACTTTATTCCTAGGCAATGGCTACTGACAATTAAGCAAGTGATGCAGCTCAGAACCTTAAAGAACCCTCAAAACTGATGCCTGGTTCAGTCCCTAGAAATTCTGCTCCAAGAAGTCTCGGGTGATAGACCACTGGGAATCTCCTCAGCAAATCTGAGTGAAGCACAGTTGGGAATGAAAATAATGTTCTAAACACCACCCGCTCACACACTTTTAAGAGCAATGTGTTTTCCATCAGAAGTCATGACCTCTGTTGCCATGCATTCAATACTCTTTGCAACATGATTCCAAGTTACCTTTCTGGCTTCATCTTTCATCTAGCCAATAACAAATATCTAATGTCAGATCACTGTACACTTTGTCACTGTCTCTATGGTATTCCCTTTTAGAATGACTTATAGTATAGAATTAAGAATACATTAACAGCCACTTGGTCCCTGATACTTAACAATTCCTTTTAGGCAAAAACCAAAACAAAACAACAAAGAACCCCCAAATTTTTCTCTCTGTTCTGTCATCAATCTTTCACACTGGCCTCATCAACATACTTAACAAAGGGATCATGCTTGGCGTATTTGCAACCCCCTCTCCCTTAAATGCTTAGCATTGTGTTTACTCAGCTCAATTACTCTGTGATGGATGAAAGCAATAGTATTCTTTTTACCTATAGTTCTGACAGCTTCCTTGTGATCAATTCTGAAGAGATTTATTCGACCATCCTCTCCAACTGTGACAATTTCTGGGTTGTCGCACACGATACCTGTACATGGTGCACTGCTGTAGGTAGGACTTCCAGGACCCGTGTGGTGGTGAGCTGCTTTCCACTGCTGGCTGACCGACAGAGTCTAGGCATCAGAAAGGAATATACTTTTACTCACATTGAAGTTGTAAAGAATGAGCCCCTTTCTTTCAATGGGCTTTGGATTTTCTTTTGAGACAGACCTCACTCTGAATCCTAAACTGCCCTGAAACAGTCCTATCTCAGCCTCCCACATGATAGGGATTATAGGTACGAGCCACCATACCCAACCAATAGAATTTTTAAATTCTATCTTGTATCCTCCTAGAAAAAATTCTCGGTTCTTGTTTTACTTTAAAGTGCTGAAGTTTTGAAATTACTTCCATGAGATTTTTTTGTACACTGAATTAGGCTTACTACTAAGCCTAATTTATATCAAACTAATAATTTTTGGTAACAAATAGCTGAATGTTCAAAGGGAATTCCTTAAAATTTTATAGGAATGAACTTTCATGTAAGGAACTAACCTCTACAACTTTTTCCTGCATGATCCCATTAAGAAAATAGTTAACAAAATTTGTATCATATTTACTAAGCATGTCTATAACAAAAAGATCTTTGCTAATTCCAAAGTCTAAATAAGCAACCTTATTCATTAGTATAAACCTGTGTTATTACCTGCGGGGCTATTTTTTACCCTCAGTGAATACCCAGAAGGTCAGCACCCTTCTAAGAAAAGCAATGAAACAAAGGCCTTTTAAAAAAATTAATTAGCTAGTTAATTAATTTGTCTTTTTGAGACAAGGTCTCCCTGTGGCCCCAGCGGCCTGAAACTAACTATGTAGACCAGGCTGGCTTTGAACTCACAGAGATCTGGCTGCTTCTGCCTCCCAGGTGATAGGATTAAAGGTGTATGCCACCATGCTTGGTGGCTTTTTATTTTTTTTAAATACTACTTCTACTTTTTAGGTTTTTAAAAGTTTTTTTTTTTTTTAAATTCAAGTGCTTGTGTGTGTGTGTGTGTGTGTGGTGTGTGTTGTGTGTATGTGTGTGTCTTCATGAGTTTATGTGTACCTCATACATGCAGGTGCTCTTGGGAGTCCAGAAGAGGGTATTGTGAGCCACCTGACACAGTGCTGGGAACCAAATTCCTGTTCTCTACAAGAGCAATGTGCTGTAGCCATTTCTCCAGCCCCAGAACCTCTCTTAATGAAGACCTGGGTTCTACCAATAGAAATAAAATGGCTGGAAGTTGAGCATACACTCTCTCACACATACAAATATGGTTGTAGACTATCAAAATGTGAGTCATACAGGGCTAGGGGGTGTAGCTCAGTGGTAGAATATCTGCTTACCACATCTGAGATTCTGAGATTAAGCCTCAGCACCCCTCACAAAGTGGACAATATTTTCTCCTATCATGCTTTCCCCCCTTTCTTTAAAATGAGGTTGTGCTATGTTGCCCAGACTGGTCTTGAGCTATTGGGAATCCCACAGTCCTTTTTTCTCAGCCTCTAGAATAGCAGAAGAAACAGGAGTGTGCCAAGTGATTGACTCTCTTCATATTTAAACACTATAAAACACTGTGTACTTATTAAGCAAGATCTTTAAAATAATTAAAATACATGCCTACTTTTCTAAAAAAGATCTTTACCTGGTTATTTGGATGGTGAAGGAAAACTGTTACACATCCTGTTGATGAAGCAGCTACAATTCTTTCCTGGTCAAAAAACTAAACAGAAAATTCCTGTATATTAGTGATTCAGAAATATTAGTAAGGAAGAAGCTCATTTTGTTCAACTCAACTAATAGCAAACCTTGTAAGAATTTTATAAACAAATGGCTTATACATGCTCAGCAAATAAAATGTGCTAAGAGATCTGATAATAAAAATTGCTATACAACTGCTGGGCATGGTGGCGCATGCCTGTAGTCCCAGCACTTGGGAGGCAGAGGCAGGGGATCTTTGTGAGTTCAAGGCCAGCCTGGTCTATATAGTGAGTTCCAGGACAGCTGGGGCTATAAGGAGACCCTGTCTCAGACCAAAAACAAACAAAAAAAATTGCTATATAAATTAAGAATATTGCCATGAAAGAGAATTTAAAAAATTTTTCTCACCTATGATTTGGGGCCACAATAATCAATATTTAAAAACACACCATTCCTAACAGGCAACTTTCTACTAAGTAAAATGCATAACCTCGAAGGCCATGGTGGCACACGCCTTTAATCCCAGCACTTGGGAGGCAGAGGCAGGCAGATCTTTGTGAGTATGAGGCCAGCCTGGTCTACATAGTGAGTTCCAGGACAGCTGGGGCTATAAGGAGACCCTGTCTCAAAAAAAGACAAAAAAAAAAACAAACATAACCTTTGAATTCACACAGGTTTTTTTTCTTTTTTTTTTGTGGGGGGAGTGAGGAAGGACAGTCTATGTTGTTCAAATTGACACTGAACTCCTGAGCTTCTCCTGCCTCAGTTTCCTAAGTGCATGGGACTACAAGCACCTGCCACCACATCCAGTTTTGGAAAACTTATTACTTGGGGCTGGAGAGACAGCTCAGCAGTTAAGAGCACTGGCTGCTCTTTCAGAGGACCTGGGCTAGATTTCCAGCACCCATATGGTGGCTAACAAGTGTTTTTAACTCCAGTTCTAGATGATCTGACACACTCTTCTGATTTCCGCTGGTATTGCACGACACAGGAGCACTTACATACAAACAGGCAATACATTCACAAACATAAAGATAAAATAATAGGTAAAAAATATAAAAAGAAGCCGGGTGTGGTAGTGCACGCCTTTAATCCCAGCACTCGGGAGGCAGAGGCAGGCAGATCTCTGTGAGTTAAAGGCCAGCCTGGTCTACATAGTGAGTTCCAGGACAGCTGGGGCTACAGGGAGACCCTGTCTCAAAAGAGACAAAAAATTAAATAAATATATATAAAGAAATAAAAAGAAAAAAGAAAACTGTTTTGAGATGTTTTTAGAGAACTTAAGTTTTGTTAAGTTTTGATAAATCTTTAAGATGGAGCACTAATTTCTACTCAGGAAATTGTTATAAGAATTCAAGCATCAGGGCTGGAAAGATGGCTCAATGGTTAAGAACACTGTTCTTGCAGAAGACCCAGGCTCAAGTCCCAGCACCCACATGGCAGCTAACAACTGTCTGTAACTCCAGTTCCAGGTGATCCAATATAGCCTCTTCTGTCTCGGTGGGCATTGCATGACATGGGTGCACTTACTATAACATGCAGGCATAACACTCAAACACATAAAAAAAAAAATACTAAAAAAAAAAAAAAGAATTCAAGCATCAATTCCATGTAAGCCATTCTGCATATTTACCATACAGTAAATGCTCAAAAAAAAGAATTCAAGCATCAGTTCCATGTAAGCCATTCTGCATATTTACCATACAGTAAATGCTCAAAAAAAAGAATTCAAGCATCAGTTCCATGTAAGCCATTCTGCATATTTACCATACAGTAAATGCTCAAAAAAAAGAATTCAAGCATCAGTTCCATGTAAGCCATTCTGCATATTTACCATACAGTAAATGCTCAAAGGGAGAGTACTTCCTTGGCATATAGCTGGGCAATTACTTTTAAAACTGTGACTTATCTGCATTCTGATTCCCAGTCCTGGTCCCAATTCTGCCACTGAATGCTTAAATGATGATGGCAAACTACAATCCATGGATTACTTAGTGCTCTGTATGCCAGGGTGGGACTAGACAAACCATAATGTGCTATCCATCTCTAAATATCTTCTCACATTTCAAAAGTTAACTTTGGGGCATGACATAGATCTACCTGTAAATCCATGACATCACCATGGTGTTTGATATCACACAATAATTGATGGTCTCCTTCAAACCCTCCGTCAGAATCCATGTTTCCAAAATCTCCAATAGACCATAGTGAAACGGAATTTTCCTGTAGAACAGAAAGTTTTCTCTTGAGATGATGAAGAGGTCAATGCTAGGAAAGTAAAGTTTGGATTGCCTTTCATGAGACTGCTTCAAAAGTGAACTGGCTCAGCAAACTTCCCTAAGTTACTCCATTCTGTTCAGAGCCATTTCAGCAGCAACTTTGCTCCACACCAAAGGTGGAGGGGGGCAACCTTGGGCCTTGGAAAATTGCCCTAGCCATGAATCATGGAATGTGCTCATTCCAGACATTATATTTTTGCTAACCAGCTTGTTTTCACTTCTGTAACCTGCTTGCTGCCTTGGGTCGCCCTGACACAGGGTATAAGACCACCCTTGTTATTCTGTTATTCCTGTTATTGTATGACCACCTAGAAGTCATTTACCTTGACTGTCTTATTATACTTATTATGGCTAAAATAGTTGGCTAGTTTTAAGGTCACAAAGTTGGATTCCAAGTTATATGACTGTATCACTTTGTATAATGATTGGTTGTTGATTAATAGTCAAAATTCTGCTATGTTGTACAAACCTGATTGGTTCACAACTGTCCTGTTTTAATAATAATTCTGTAATCCTATAAAAACTCTGACCTGACAATTATCAGGGCTGCTTCTACTCCCGTGATAGACAGCCCGCAGGTAGAAAATTAAAATTTACCTTGCTACTTTTCTTAAATGGTGTTGGTGATTTTTTTTTTACGAATTCTGTCCTATAACAGAAAGCATCTCAAACACTGTGGTAAGAGTTTAGCTTGAGATCAGAGATGGCCTGGTCAGGACCATATGACTACAGACTTGTTAAGAGTTTAAAGCCACACCCAAGGCTCAGGCACCTGAGGCCAGACCCCAGGCTCACCGCGCCGGCTTTTGGCTCCAGATTCACTGGGTCCGAAACCGGCTCCGGGGAATGCCCAGGCAGGGCCAGAAGCAAGTTCGCCGGGGCTGTGGAGTAGGCGGCAGGCCCTCCGGACCCGTACCTCATTGTCCCAAGAGCCGATGGCGAAGGTCTCTGCGGTCTGCAGGCTCCCCGGAGGAACCGGTCGCCAGCGGGTTTTGCTAATTTTCTGAGAAACGAACTTGGCGTAAATTTCCTCCATGCTGAAATCAAGCCAGGGTGGTGCAGCAGAAAGCACAAAGCGCGCCTCTGGGTCCCACCCCTTCCTGCACAACTCTGATTGGATGAAGCTGCACTAGTTGACGGTGGCCGCAGAAAGCCAACTCTCATCAGTGCGAGAACCGGCCAGGACCTGAACTGTGGTGCTGATCTTCTTGAAGACTGCTATGAACAAAGGCCCCACATACCCCTAGGCATTAAATGTATACTGACCCTAGGCATTAGATGTACACTGACACGATGTTTTTTGTGCAGTAACAGTGCTACGTCTAAGGACAATTTAAGAGCAAAAGTAAACCAATGCAGGAGAAAATACCTTATATGGGCCCTAAGTGTTTAGTTGCCCATCACTGCACATAGAAAACGATTTAAAATCCTTTGGCTAGGACTGAGGTGTAGTTCACTGGTATAGCAATTGATTGCCATTCCTTGTCCTGGGTCAGATCCCCAACTACAGAGGGAAAAATCCTTAACTTCTTGTAATGTCTCAACTTAGTATCTTAGACCTCTTCCTCTTTGCTTCAAAGTTACTACACACTATAAGAGCCTGGAATTAGAATTCAGGACTCTGTTTTTGCTTTTGACACCTTTTTTTTTCTTGCTGTGTAAACTTTTTATTGATACATGTAATTAAAAATGAGATTGTTGGGGGCTGGAGAGATGGCTCAGCGGTTAAGAACACTGTTCTTGCAGAAGACCGGGATTCGAATCCCAGCACCCACATGACAGCTAACACCTGTCTGTAGCTCCAGTTCCAGGGGATTCAACAGCCTCTTCTGTCCTCCGTGGGCATTGCACAACACAGGCTCACTTACCTACATGCAGGCATAACACTCATACACATAATATTTTTTTTAAAAAATGAGATTGTCAAAAAAAGACAAAAAATATTGTTGAAGGCTGTGTCAATAGGTCATGAATCTGGGTTCTACTTTTCTTTGGTGCTACTGGTAACACCTATCATAGCCTTCACTCTTTGTAATCCTATTCACCCTTCAAGGTTTCATACCTTCATGCACCTTCTCCAGGTACCTCTAGCCCATGGTGATCTAACTAAACCCAGAATTGGCACAGGCCACTAATTGCAGTTATATTTTGCCTTCTGTTGCTTTTTGTTGGCAGTGGTGGTGCTGCTGCTGCTGGGGATGGAAGGTAAGGCCTCTTATATGCTAGGCAAGTCTCTACCAGTGAGCTACAAGCCCAGCCCACTAGTGTTGATGTCAACTTCCCCGATTAGTATATAAATCCTACTTACTACATGAGAATGACTTATGCATGTTTTTAACCTCCATTATACTATAGGCATTCATTCCTGTGTTGACTGTTTCTTTAACACAGGTCATGATAGGTTATTTTTATCTGATATTGGTAGTATTTCATCACAGCCATAGCTTATGGAAACACTGAATGTAAATGCAATCCATCTGGGTCAGAGAGTTAACAGGTTGTAAAGAGTTTGAGTGATTTTTTTTTTCAGCAGGAAGACTGTGTTACCCAACCTGGACCATTCTGCCTGCATGCAATATGCCAGTCACAAAAATGTCAGGTTTTGCAAGACTGGTTATTCATGAGGTGACCAAGCATGCGCAAAGGGAAAGCAAGTCTCCAATCTGCCTAGTCCAGGCTGAGGCTGGGGGTTATTAATGGGCTTGGGGGTGGGAAAAGGAGATTGGATTAAACTCATCAATTCTTACCATCACGTCCCACACAAGGAGGCGTAGTCAGCTAAAAGTAAGAGCAAGCAAATTCTAGAATGAGGATTTACTTAGGCACGAAAAGCAGGTGGTTTAATCAGGGTTTCCTTCAGTTTCAAGGCCATCAGAAAATTGTAGAGATGCGATAGAAAACAATTAAATGAATTAAGAGTCTAGCAATCATTGCTTTATTTCTAATATTGAAGAATACTGTGACATTTATGGTCAAAGAACCCATGAAAATAGATAATGAATATTTCAGATTGGAAACAGGTTGTGTCACATTTGACAAAATTTGGTATGAACAGTAATTTGGGGCAGGAGTGATGGCTCAGGGGTTAAGAGCCTTGCAGACAACTGGGCTCCATTCCCAGCACCACATGGCAGCTAACAACCATCCATACATAACTCCAGTTCCAGGGTATCTGACGCCTTCTTCTGACCTTTGTGGGCACTGCATGGCTTGGGTGCACCTACTTACATGCAGGCATAACACTCATACACATTTAAAAAAAGAACTGTAATTTGGAAATTGCTAACATAGCACAGCACACGTGCCTTTGCATAACTGTTTCCTTCTTGAAAGTTTACTGGAGTGATGGCTGGGTTCAGTGTCTCAGATCTACTTAGTACAGTCTGGATGCGACAGACAATGCTCCCTGCCAACGTCTCAGGATCTTGTAGAGATGAAAGCAAGAAAGCTGTACCCAGTCTAAGGGTGGAATTTGTGAGGCTTCATTAATTGAAACACACAGTTGCGTATGAAGAGTGACACATTCACCATAGGATACTGGGGTAACCAATTACAACTCTACGCTTGTCTGGTTCTCAACCAGCAAAAGCACCCTACTCCCAACCCCATGTCACGGTATTCTTCCACTCAGAATTTGCGTCTTAAAGTCGAAAACACAGCAGAACCCTAAAGTCTAAGCTTAACCAGTGCAGTGCTTGCCACAGTCCTAGGCTGGTGGATTTCGGGTAGCAGAGGCCCTTTCCCCCTGGGCTCTATTATTATTCTGGCTCCATCACAGGAGCCTTGACATTGACCAGCCTAAACGTTAGTGCACCGGGTTGGGTGAGGCAGGAAGCAGGTAGCCCACCGTCTAGTAATCTGGGCAGCTATAGGAGCAGGCCCGCCGCTCGCAACAGCTGACGGAGCCACCCGCCTCGCCGGCATAGATCTGCCCCGCCATCCCGTCGCCGCGCAGGGTCAACCCGAGTCGCGGTCAGGATCGCTACCCGCCGCGCTGGGCGCCACCCGGCCGGCCGCAGGACGAAGGCAATCGGAGGCCCCAAGAAGGGGGACTCAGTGGCGCTGACTCGGTCCGGCCTCACTGCGGTCGCCTAAAACGACGGCCACTGAGCACCCGACCCCTCCCCTCCGGCCCCACCCGGCCGCACCCCAGGCAGCGCGGCGTCACAGAGCGCATGCGTGCCGCGGGGCATGCCGGGAGCGCGCAGTGGCGGCACCGGAGGCGACAGCAGTGGCAGCGGCAGCTTGAGCGGGGACACGAGCGGGGCGGTGACCGTGTGGGAGGTGGTCTCACTCTTGGGGAAACTGCTGGGGACTGTCGCCGCGCTGAAGGTGGTTCTGTACCTGCTCCGGGTGTGCTTAGCGATGGCCTGGAAATCCGGCGGCGCCAGCCACTCGGAGCTTATCCACAACCTCCGCAGTAAGTGCCACCCCCGCCCGGCGTGGGCCAGCGGGGCAGGCCCGGCCTGGACTCGGTCCCCCGGGGCCGTCCGGAACGTTCGGTCCCCACCCCTTGCGCCTGTTGGAGGGCTTGGCTGCGGGGCTGCACTGGGGGTCCGGAGCGGCGTGCGCTTATGATCGCCTCCCCCGGGATATGTCACTCATCGGAAGGGAAGGGGAGAGAAGCCCGTAGGGGGCTGCTGCGGGTGGGACAGGGGCGGTGGGCTCCCCGCGGGCCGGCGGGGACAGGGTGCGGCACAGGTGACAGGGCTGCCACTGGAGTCCGCGGTACGACCGGCGAGGGGCGTGACTTCGGGGTGCGGAGGTGCGGGCTGGTGTTCCTGGTGACCGGACAGGCCCTAGAGGGACACCACCCTCGCCCCACGCATTCTCTCACCTTCCTCTTCAGTCGGTTCCTTGGGAGCTTTCTGTCTTCTGCCTCCCCTGCCCTCCTTTTTTTCCTCTGGAGGGAGATTCGGCGGTGTGATACCGGTGAGGGGAGGGAGAGGAGAATGAGAGTATTGCGATTTCGAACGCTGGGAGAAATTTCTCCGGCGACTGTCCAGTGTAAAGACTCTTTGGGGAACCGAGGAAGAAACAATTAGGGATGCTGTTCCTGGGATAGTTTATCTGGAGCTTTTCGAGGTCCTGAATCCAGCATACGATTATGTATATTGTATGTTCTAACTTTCTTTTCAGGGTCCTTTGGTTTTTAAAAGCTTGTATGGAAGGTTGGTTTTTTTGTTTTTTTTTTAAGAAAATCATTTTCTGTAGTTACTATATTCCTTCCTCTTGATAATTTTACGATAGGATGAATGCTGTGTCACATCCCTTCTAAAACTGAAATGCAGTGTCTCTGCTCCAGAGACCAGAGGGGCCACAGGTCCATAATCTCATTCTGGTGACAATTTGTAGCTCTCCTTTTGCCACCATAATTGTAATAATCACAGCCTTCCAGGTGATATTTTTCATTGTCTTGTGCCTTTTTTAGTTTTTCATCTGTTTGTTTTACCTCTCAACTCCATTCGTAACTACCTTGACGACTGGGACCGTAATAATGGAATTTTCTCAAAGAACTAAATACTCATTCTTTTTTCATGAATACCGATTAAGTGACCACTATATGCCTAGATCTGTGCAAGGAATGCAAAGGTGAATGAGAAATAAGAATAGTTGGTACTTAATATAGTCACTTTTGGATTTTAAAAACACTTAGGTGGAAATTAAGTCTTTAGTAATGAAGGCTAATGAAGTGTGTTTAGATGGCAAAATGTTATCAGCCGTTGCCAGCATTCACTTAACAGAGGATATTTGGTAAGAAACAGATGTTTAAATACTTAGGCAATAGTGTGAAATGTATTTAGGTTCTCATGGCTCATGTAAGCGCAACAGTGGAAATATTTAATAAAATTTCTTAGCACAAGCTTAAGTGCCTGTTATTGCAGTCTATAACATTCTAAGCACGAATTGTGACTAAGTAGTTTTCCACCAGTAGGTTATCACAGTAGACACTTGGCTGTAGCAGAAATTTGTAATCTATCAGGCTTTTAAAGTCTGCTTTTGGGCCAAATTTGTGGTAAGCCAAGACTAGAGCTTTTCCTAGTGGTTTTATAATCACTTTAATGTATTGTATTACTGTTCTAAGCTGAAATTTCTAAGGATATCTTTCTGTCAGAAAATATATCAAGGAATATTTAATATGCATGGATGGTAAATAGCAAATAATTAGTTTTATACTAAATGTATGATTGGTAAGAGGAAATTAGAGAATCCAAGTTATTTTAGCTTCTTTAAAAAAATACTTTAGCCGGGCGTGGTGGTGCATGCCTTTAATCCCAGCACTCTGGAGGCAGGGGCAGGCAGATCTGTGTGAGTTCGAGGCCAGCCTGATCTTTATAGTGAGTTCCAGGCCGGCTGGGGCTACAGGGAGACCCTGTCTCAAAAAGAAAAAAAAAAACCAAAAAACAAAAAACAAAAAAAAAACCCCACCAAGAACAAAAACAAAAAAAACCACTTTAACACTCCGTCAACGTTTTTTGTTTGTTGCTATGTAGAACAGGCTGGCCTCGAACTCACAGAGCTACCTACCTCTGTCTCCTGAGTGGTGTGATTAAAGGCATGCACCACCATGCCTGGCATACGCTTGGACAAATCTTTTTTTTTTTTTTTTTTTGAGTCAGGGTCTCCCTATAGCCCCAGCTGTCCTGGAACTCACTATATAGACCAGGCTGGCCTCAAACTCACAGAGATCCACCTGCCTCTGCCTCCCAAGTGCTGGGATTAAAGGCGTGCGCCACCACACCCGGCTCACTTGGGCAACTTTTAACCTGAGGTAGTTTTAGCTGATAGGTTTGTTTTTATTAGTTGATTATAAAAGTAGCATTTGCCTATATGAAAACTTCAGTTGGCACATAATTTGAAAATATCTTCCTCTTTCCTCATTTTTTCCCTCATTTTTACCATTGTGTGTTTTTCCTAAATACTGTTTTTGTTTTGTGGTGCTGGGGTTTAAGCTCAGATTCCTTGGGATTCAGTTAATAATTATCTTGTTGGGCAGGGCCTTATGAATGCAAAGCATGTGCTATACCACTGACCTATAACCAAGCAAAGTGGGCATTAAAAAGCAAAAAATTGGGGCTGGAGAGATGGCTAATGGTTAAGAGCACCAGCTGCTTTTGCTGAGGTCCAGAGTTCAGTTCCTAGAACCCACATGGCAGCTAACAACCATCCATAACTCCAGTTCCAGGGGATCTGATGCCCTATTCTGCCCTCCTCGGGCATTGCACTATATGGGTGCACTTACATACATGCAGGCAATACACTCATACGTAAAAAATAGAAGTAAGTTACAGGAGGCAGAGGCAGGTGGATCTCTGAGTTCAAAGCCAGCTGGCTTTGGCTTTATTTTGACTTCAACTTTGGCAGGGGCTGGAGCTTCCTTCATGGACATCAGGGTCAGCTGTTAAACATTTTAGATTCTATACTGGCTACTTCAAGCAAGCAAGGTGAACCATTCTTTTTTTTTTTTTTTTTCTCTGTAGCCCTAGCTGGCCTGGATTCACTATGGAGACCAGGGAACTCACAGAGATCCGCCTGCCTCTGCCTCTCTAGTGCTGGGATTAAAGGTGTTTACCAGCACACTGGGCTCATTTTTTTTTAAATTGTTTTTATTTGTAGAAAGAAAAAAAAGTTCCTTAATGTATCAGTTATTTCTACTTAGTTGCTTTTGCATCCTTGATTGTTACATTTTGCAAATATAATGTTTGTAGGATTTGTCAATCAGCCTATGGATACTTGAGTATTCTCTTCCCCCACCCCCCAGTTTTCTTATGTTGCTCAGGCTAGCTGTGAATCCTTGGGTGCAAGCGTCCTCCTGCTTCAGCCTTTTAAGTAACCGACTACAGGCACATGACACTGCATCAGTGAGCTGCCAGCTGTCTTCTATCTTCCAGTCACTGGTGTTACAGCAGTGACCAACACAAACATCCACTCCTTTTTGTAGCTTTCTTCTACAGAGAGTAGCTAAGTAAAGTAGTACGTGATAGGATGATCTGTCAACGCATGAGGCAGTGAGTTTATAGTTTTAGGTGAGAGTGCTTCACCAAAGTGTCAGTTGAGCAGAAGTTTGGTGGAGGGAAAGAAACAAGCTCTGATGATAGAGCTGAGGCTGAGCAGTCCAGAGAAATAGTAAGTACTAGGTTTGAATTTGAGGTGTGGGAGAGACTGGGGTAAGGCTATGATACCAGAGTTGTAGGCCTTGGCAGCTGAGTCACAAATAAGTGAGTGAACATCAGGGTTTGTTTTTACAGTTATTGCAAGGAAAGAGGGCAGATCATGAATTTATTTGGGGGAAATAATAGATTTGAGATATAATAAATACATCTAAGTAGAGACCTTTAGCAGATACTTGAATATGTGAGGATTATAATTTGTAGTTTTTATGTCCTTAAAAGCATTTACTTTGTTCTTGATTTTGGTTTTTTGGTATTTTGAAACACTGTCTCCTGTAGCTCAGACTGGCCCGAAACTTGCTATGTAGTTGAAGATGGCATTGAACTTCTGATCCTCCTGTCTCCAATTCCCAGATGCCAATTATGCAACACCAGTCCTGAGAAACTTTTTTCTTCTTTTTGGGCTAGGGATTGAATTGAGAGCCTCATGCAAGCTAGGCAAGCACCCTACCACTGGTCTGTATTCTTAGGCTCCACTCCCCCATTTTTATTTTATTGGCAGAGTCTTATAACATAGCCTTGGAACTTACTGTGTAGACTGGGCTGGCCTTGAATTTATGGCACAAATACTTGTGAACATGCTTCCCAGGTGCTAGATTTGCAGGTGTATACTACCGTGCTCGGCTCTGAAGTATTTATTTTTGAAAATAAATTGAAATTTTCTTATTTCACTTACAGCATCCATACTTAGTCACTACTAGTATAGCTAGTGGAAAGGAGCATTTTGTTTTAATATTCCATTACCTTGTTTTTGAGGGGTGATCTTTTTGAGACAGGGGTCTCCCTGTAGCCCCAGCTGGCCTGGAACTTACTATATAGACCAGGCTGGCCTTGAACTCACAGAGACCCACTTGCCTCTGCCTCCCAAGGTGGGATTAAAGGCATCTGCCTAATATTCCATTACTTTTAAATTGAACATAGGATAAATATAACCATTTTATAAAATCCTAAGAAATTGCAGCTATTTATTTTAATTTTAGGGGTGGGGTGGGGCGGGGCATGTACTATGGTGCATGTGTGGAGGTCAGAGCATAACTATGGAGTTGGTTCTTTTATGTAGGTTCTGGGGATCAAACTCAGGTCATCAGGCTTGGTAACTCCTGCTTTTACCCACTGAGCCATTTGGCTAACCCTCAAGTTGGTTTTACTGACAAATATTAGTAACTTACAGTGTATACATAAATATTTCATTTTTATGATTAAAAATTCTAATATCAGGTGGGCTGGGAATGTGGTTCAGTGGTAGAGT